ATTCACGCGGAGGTGGGAATGAGGCCTAACACTCTTACAGCATTATTAAATAAGGTTATACTAACTCAGTGTTAACTGCTAATGTATGGCAAGGAGATATGTTTCAAGTGAAAAAGTCGAGAAGCCCGCCCCATCCACTATCCACCCTAAGGGCTGCTTTCTGCTTTGCCAAGTCTGCTAGTAAACAGAATACCTTTATAGCCCCCTAGCATTCCCACCTACCACACTGCATTTCCCAGCACTGCCAAACTGCGCAGGACGTGATACTACCTCATGCACAGCCTGTCACCTGCGCCCCATACATATGAACGACAAGGGCACCGTCTCTATACATGCACTTAACGTGTATCCTATAAACACTACTGTGTGATGTTTATGTTTAGGCATAGCCATAAGCACCAGATCATAGCACCCACTATTTGTATATGAACACAACCTTCTCCATAAACCTCTAATCCCTCCACTTTACCCCCCTCACTGGTATCAGATGGTCAAACAGACAAATGAGGGCTCCTCAATGTCACCCCCCCTTCCTCTGCTCTCTCCTACTATGGAGAAGGCACCCCTCTCCCCCTCAAAGCAAATCCACCTTCTCCTTTCACTGCTTTGGGCACGATTCCCTCCCACCTCCTCCAAGACCTTGACCTATGGGACGCCTCCCTATCTCTGGCCCCCCACCACCAACCCTCAGACATGTTTCATCTCCTCTCATCCTTAAAAGAAAAACAAAAACAAAAACATAACCCCACAAAACCCTTCCCTTGACTTAGTCTCCTTTCTTCTCCGTTGCCTTAGTTCTGTCTTCTCAGCCAAACTTCATTAGAAGACTGTCAGTGGTACATCCAGACAATGGAATGTTATTCAGCCCTCAGAGAAATGAGCTGTCAAGCCAGAAGGAGACATGCAGGAACCTTAAATGCACATCGCCAAGGGAAAGAAGTTAATCTGAAAGAACCGCATACTCTATGCTTCCAACTGTGGGATGTTCTGGAAAAGACAAAACTATCGAAACAGGAGAAAGATCAGTGGTTGCCAGGGGTTTTGGGGGAGTTGGAATAGGTGGAGCACAGGAGGATTTTTAAGGGAGTGAAAACGCTCTGTATGTTTATACCCGAAGGCAACATCTTTCTCCCCAAACATGCTCTTCTTTCGGGTCTCCTACCTCGTCAGGGAACAGCATCATAATCCTAACCCAGAAATCTGCAGGTCACCCCGAGCTCTCCCCTCGCACCCCTGGCAGCCAGAGAGTCATCAGTTACCTCCACTGCTCCTCCCCCAAGGTCACCACCCAGTCCCTGCCACCAGAAATCTCCCCACACTCTGCAACAACCTAATTGTTCACCCTGTTTGTGCTCAGGATCCATCAATAGCCCCCCTTTCAAGATACACTCCAAATTCCTAAATAGGAGTTCAAGGCCATCCAGAACCAGCCACTGCCTGTCTCTCCATCTCTTGCCTTTTCCTCCAAGCATTCTGTGCTCCAGCCAGACTGAATTCCTGCTCAACTTCCTGCCTTCCGGACCTTTGCACATACTGGGCTGTCTAGAACATTCTTCCCCTTAGGACCCTGCTCTTCCTCAGGCCAAACCCTCCCAACCTTTGGTTCTCTGACCAAACGCCAGTTCTGGAAAGCCTGCCCCGACCCACCTCCCTACAAATGAAGTTGGATGCACCTGTCCATGGCATTCTGCACTCCCCACCGAAGCAATCATCACACTTTAGTATGACTGTTCATTCCACTTTAGGTCTTCCCTGCTTCACCCCCAAGTTCCTTGAGGGCAGGGCTTCTGCATCTTGCCAAGCACAGCAACCTGGAGCCTAGAGGCTTGTAGGGAAGCCTGGTGAAGTACTGAGATCTCATGTATAGAGCTATATCTAAGTCCCACCCTATGAAAACATATCCCCCTCCCACTAAGGCAGAAATCACAGCAGTCACAGAAGTTAAGTACAGAACAGAAAACAGACTCATCCAGTGCTTTTTGATTTTAAGTGGTGTTCTTTCCAGGCTCCTGGTTTTCCAAAGCTGCAGACTTGCTTTGGAAAACAAAGGGGAACTTACTTTGAACTTACATTGTAATTACTTTCTTTGGAAAAACAAAGGGAAACTTACTTTGAACTTAGATTTTAATTACTGTCTTTGGAAAACGAAGAGAAACTTACCTTTTACTTACACTGCAACTCACCTAAGAGGGGAACCTGGCAGCAGTTGGTAAGATGAGCCCAGAACAGCACCCCAAACATGAACTGTTCCTGAAGCAAATCCTACAATCCTAAAGCCCTTTCTGATGATTTTTAGGAAAACTCCTCAATTTATTTTCCTCTATAAATATTTGCTATTCCTGCCTTGACCATCCATGGTATAAACTCACTTTCAAGCCATCTAATATTCTCACCAATATACAAAAAAAAAAAAAATCACAGGGATCAATGATGCAAAGGACTATAAAGGAGACGTGAGGCTCACTCCAATAAGCAGAATCCCAAATGCACGTAATGAACACCTATGCATTCTCATCACGACAGAGCCAAGGAACCTGGAAATATTATAATGTGGATCACATTTTAAAGAAAGGTCCTAGCGCTATCTGCACAGAAACTAGCTGCAACAGAAGACAATTCTCAAATAATTTAAAACCCAAAACTTTAGAGGCAATGCACACATAAGCAACAAATTCAGAATGACCAACGTGATCTGGCACTATACACTTAGATGCTCCGTTTGGGATACAGTCATTATATTTCAGTTCCTATTGTGTGTTTTTCTTGTAACAAATATATAAAAATACAGGAATAGAACTTTTTCTTTACAATTTAATTTGTCATCTCTGTTTTTCTGGTTCACAGGCAGAGTATCAATGGAGGTACAAAACCACTTCTGCCCCCACTGTATTCTTTCATCAGTTCAAGAACCAGAATTAACTGTGTATGGGAAGTGAATGGGGTGTATCTTTATTCTCATTGTTAGAGGATTTATATAGAAGTTGACTGAAGTAATAATTTACACGGAAAGTAAACAGTATTACGACACAAGGTGAAATTGTCTTCTGTAAATCACACTCGCTCAAACGCACTACCATATCCCACACTGATCTAGGTCCAAAACCTACACCCACACATTTCATGTCCACACAACAATCCTTCTCAGCCTCTAAAGTTTGATATCTATGCCTGTGTTTTTAAGTATCAGAACCAAAATATGATACTTCCTGCACACCACTCTCCCCTCCAACCCACCCCCTCCTCTACCCTCTTGTCTGGACGCAGCTCTGTGGACGCGGCTCCGTTCCTGAAGAATAAGCAAGCCCTAGGGACACACCTTATTCTCGGTAGCTCTTTCTGGCCAGACCTCGACCTTCACCCTCACTGAGTGCCCACGTGCTCACATCTTCTCAGCTCACACCCAATTCACCTCCTGGGATGTAAATTCAAGAGTCTGACCCGCCTGAACTCCTCTGACCTGCTATCTCCAGGAATGAGCCTTTATACTAATGGTCCAGTCCGTCTATCCACACCAAACAGGACTAATGCTACCTGCCTGGAAAAAGTGTGCTTTCCTCTCTATTCCCCTGGCTGGGGCACACATTGGTAACACAGCGTGGGTAACCGAAATATGTGTTTGAGGCAAACTGTCCTTCAGACCTGCCCTATTCATTTTTATAAAACAAATTTATACTCCCAAGCACGTTATCTGAATTGCCTATCTTTCTTGCAAGACAACCTACGGACAATATTAAACCCTTCATTCCCATCTACCTATCCACTTTTTAAGAAAGTTTTCGCTTGCCCTTCCTTAAATCCAGACATTATGATCTTTAGTTAAAAATATAAAGCAACTCAAGTGACTAAGATGAGCACAAAACATTTAGATAACCCATATTTCTCTGTTCAGGTGCTGTTTACAGCTGTCCCCCCACCCCCGCCCACGGCTTCTTCACCACCTTTTCCCTCTGGGCTTCTCTACATGATTTCCAGCTGAGGGGCTCCTTTTCCTGGGTAACTCCAAGCAGGCTTGGGGATTACCTGTGCTGCCTACTTCTACCTTTCAAGGCAGGACCCTCTACTTGGATGGCTCCAGAAACCTAAACTGAACACTCAGCTGGAGAGACAGAACTTGTACAAAAACAAGACTTTCCGTTACTTAATTATTCCGCGCCCAAGTCCATATTTCAGCTTTCCTCACAGGGTCCTTTCCATAACCTCCCAGCTCCTTCCCTGTGATTCCTTCCCGGGGATTCCTCACTGGCCACTGAAAATCTCACTTCCTTGGGCTGTGCTCTCTCCTCCCAAACAGGAGTCCACTCAGACTTTCTAGAACTCATAGTTGTACCTCCTTCGTCTCATCTGGATTAATAGTAAACTAAACTGGTGACCCAGCAAAGACCTCAGCAGTACACCCTCACTGGCCCCATTACCTCCAACGTCTTTAGCACCGATTCCCTCTCTGCACTTAAGTTGAAGAAACTCATCCCAAGGACTGACATTTAACTTTTCCCCCCGAATGGCCATGTCAGTGGTTCACTTTTCAAATGTGCAGCAGTGAAGGCATTCGACTGTATGGAACTGAGAGCAACAGGGCGTGATTTCCCACTTTAAAGAGTTAGCCAATTTCCCTCCCGAAGTTTCTCAAAAAGAGAGGGAACCCATGTGGCATTAACATTCTGGTACCCTTCAGACCTAATTACTACTACCGGGGGTATCAGGAGTTGCCCTCTGCTCCTGGAGAAGGGCCGCTCATCAGTTCTTGACAGGAGAGCACCAGACACTAAGCGGAGACTTGGTCCTAGTTTAGAACTGACATCTGGGTGTGGGATCTCGTCTTACCAACCGCTGGTGACACCAGGAAAGAAGGAATAAAGAGCGAATACAGAAAGAACAGAGTAGAGAATCCCAAATACCCAAAGCATCCTCGCCTCCCCGTCGTCACCGGGAACGGGCTGCAGCGGTGGGGCCGAGTCCCCTCCCGCCGCGCGCCCCGCGCGGTCCGGGCGGCGCCTGCTTACCTTGCGGGAGTACGGGGGCTTGCTCAGGTGGATGCCGTCGCGGACGAGCTTATCCCTGATCATGATCTTCAGCTTCAGTCTGGGGTAGCTCACCAGCTCCCTGCTGCGGGGGGCGGTCGTCTGGCCGCGGGGATCCCCGCGGGTGCCCGGGGCCGGGCCGCCACACGGCTCCCCCCGGCGGCCGGTGGGGACGGCGACTGCGGGCGGCGCGGGCGGCGCCTGCGGCTCGAGCGTGAAGTAGAGGCCGGCGGCGGCGGCGTCCTGCTCCCGCAGCCGGCGCACGGCCTCCAGGATGCGGCGGCGGTGCGCGGGCGCCAGCACCCCGATGGCGTCCAGGTCCGGGTCCCCGATCTGCTTGCACACCTCCAGATCATCGTAGCCGTTATCCACGAAGGACTCCGCGTACTGCGGGAGCTGCAGCGCTTTCAGCCACTCGTAAACTATGTTGGTGCACATGGTGGGACCCGAGCCCCACCAGCAAGCACCGTCCCAGCGCCCGAGCGGCACGGGCGGCACCAGTTCTGGGAACTTTTAATCCTCTCCTCCAAGGGGAAAAAGAAATAGCAGCGAAGTTTTCCGTATAGAGGAAAGGAGAGGGCCGGAGCCAGGGAGCCACCAGGAGAAGCCCTAGGAGGGAGAAGCGGAGAAGCGGCAAAGTGAATTCCCCAAGCAGCCTGGAGCTCGCAGGCACTGGCGGCTGGGCGAGCCGCTCCGCGCCGCCCCTGGATGCGCCGCCGCCGCCGCCACCGCCGCCGCGGGGAGGGGCGCGCAGCGGGCGCAGGAGGGGGCGGAGGCGGGCGGGGCCGGCACAGCCCTCGGACTCGCGCGGGGTCAGCGGCGCGCGGGGCCCGCCCGGAGTTTGCTGGGCCGGGACCGGCTGGGAGCCGCGCGCCGCATCTCGGCTTCTGGCCGCCGCCGGCGTCTGAATGCGCGCCCCACGCTGGGGAGGCGGCTCTTCCGCGCAGACCCGCGGCGGCCCAGGAGCGCCTCGTCTTCGCGAGTGCTAGTGTCTGCCGTCCTCCTGGTGCGCAGGGGGGTGGCTTCTAAGCTGCCGGGCTCGCGCGGTGGCCTTGGATCTCTTTGTACATTTCTTTTTAATCTGATTTCTCTAGCTCGTGGACATCTCTGCGCTCACTTCTTCCCGAACCTCCCCGACTTCAGCCCGCGGGCTCGCTCGCCGCCCAAGAGCACGTCCCCCCGCCCGACCTGGTCGGGCGAGGCTGCGAGGCCAAGTTTCCCTCCTCCTGGCCCAAGCCGAGTTACAGCCCCTTCCTCGGAGCCGAAGCGCAGGCCGGAGCGGTCTGGCTTCTTCTGTGGACGCCGGCCCAGAGCCCCGCGCGGTGGCACTTTAGCCCGGCGGGTGGGTGCGACCAGGGGGCCGCCCGCGTCCAGCCGGCGCTGCGTTGCCGCCCCTTCTCGCTGCAGCCGGGCGCGCCGGACGGTGGAAGAAGCTGGTGCTTCTGCCTGGCTCTCCCTTCCTAGGGCCCCAGAGTCTGCGAAAGTTTGGGATAGGTCACACTTTCCCCTCGGCTGGCGCGTTCCACCCGGCCCCCCACCCTACTATCTGCCGGGTTCTTTTACCCTAGTCTCCACTGTGCTTCCACTCCGGTCCGCCTACCGTGAATTCTGCCCGAGCTCGCCGGGCAGCTGTCCCCAGGGTCGCTTCCAGGCGCTCCGTCCCGGAGCCTGGGAAGCAGAGCTCACTCCTCCCGCCCGGGATCGCGGGAACATGGATAAGCCACCACCCAGCTCGCTTTAGAGGAGACGCTCGGACATCTCTGCCCGCGGCACTTTCTCTCTAGGGAACAGGATCAATCGAGTTTCTCCGTCTTGCCGGTGCCTGGCTGGGCAAACGCTTGGGGGTGGGGACCCGAGCGGCAGGTGGGACAGATCGAGTACATGGCCTAAATTTCCCTAATCATCTGACCTCTTCTTGGGGCCAAGAGAATTTTGGTCCAGGTACCCGGTGGGGCAAGTTCACCGTCTTCTCCCTTTTCGCAGAAGGGCGATTCAACTTCGCACCTGAGGTACTTCAGGACCTAAACTGGGCGCTGTTCCTGAAGGAGTCCTGGTGGGGAGTGCCATCCGCTGGCCCGGACCTTGGCGACAGACAACTGGTGATTTCAGAGTCGTTTCCAGAACCGCGCATTTGGCTTTTTTTTTTTTTTTTTTTGGTTTTAGGGAGAGGCGGTCCTCTTTTCCTAAATCAGAAGAGCTTAACCCCTTTAGGGTCACAGACCCCTTAAAGAACCAAACTACAGACAGCTTTGACCCTTTTGCCTAGCAAAACACCCGACGCAGGTACACCCCAAATGTTCCCTACAGTTCGGGGGGTGGCGGAGGAAGGGTGTCTGGGCTCCCAAGCTCGGGCACTAGCGGATCCCACATTAACAGCTAGCCGCCAGGAAGTACCTGCCAGGAAGGAACCTGTTGCGGAGTGGGAGGGGAACGAGCGCGTAGAGCTGTCGGGCTACCTGTAGACCCCCTCTGTCCTCCGCCCCCGCTGGGTCATCAAGGCCACTCCTTCCGGAGCTCGAGCTATGGGATGCGTTTCTCCTGGGCGCTGGGATGCTAGAAGCGTCCAGCCCCTTCCGCTCCGCTCTGCGGGCACCTCTCCCACGCCAAAGCAGACTCACAGTGCCCCCTTGCGGTCGCGCAGGCGAATTTTAAGGCGTTGTCCAAGCACATTTTATTCAGCATAAGAAAGTGAGCTGAATCAAAGCTTTATATTAGTTCCCTGCGCCCCTTTTAAATCAGAGATGTTACATCACGTCTACCTTTATTCCCCAACGGTCTTTCATCAGAACCTTTGATTTTTAGGAGGAAAATATTCCAGCAGTTTGAATTATGCTGCTGAAGACAGAAGAAGTATTTATTTGGACCTCACTATATGTTAGGCATCTATACCTGTGTCTCCATGTCTCTAAATAGTATGATAACCAGTATCTTACAGAAGAAGAAATTGAGGAAGCAGAACACTAATTTTCCCCCCAGGATGTCACTGTTCACGATGGAGCAAGGGTTAGAACTCTGGAGGGATGAATTCAGCGCCTGTCTCCTGGTGGCTGACCTTCCCAGGCTCCAGTGTATGCTGGAGGGAAAATTGGACCATTTGTAAGAGGGGCATCCCCCCTTTTTTTTAGACTAGGAAACTTACAGCTCCAGGGTTTTATTGTTGTGGATTTTTTTCTTTCCCAAGTGGTGTGGAAAGTCCTGCACTTCTACTTAGCAGTTCTCTGCTTACTTATCTACAGCCTTTTACCCCCTGGGAGCTGAGACATTCACCTTGTCTCATTAATCCTCTGTGAAGACAGCAAGCATTTTTATTTCCATTTTATAATTAGTAAAACTGGTTTGGGGGAAGATAAATGACTGGCCCAAGGTCATACAGTAAATCAGGACACAGACAAGAACAAACCTGCCATGTCAAACTGTCTCCCCAACAAGAAACAGTGATTCTCTTTTATTTATGGGCAAAGTCACCATCCAATTAGGAAATAAAGCATTCTGGTGCTCTCGTTGGAAGGGAAGCCTTTTATAAATTAATCAGTTGTTAATCAGTCATAAATAAAACTTACTATTACCTCTAAGAAAACCTCTTATCTGGAGGCTTGTGAACTACAATGCCGTTTCTTGTCTCTTGTCTCCTATACCTGCTCACATCTCTTTTGTGTGAACCCTCAGGCTTCTGTCTTTTTTTTTTTTTTTTACATGGTTCTCAGCCTTGGGACTCCACACCCTGCACTCTTTTTTAAAATTTTTTTATTGTTATGTTAATCACCATGCATTACATCATTAGTTTTTGAAGTAGTGTTCCATGATTCATTGTTTGTGCATAACACCCAATGCTCCACGCAGAACGTGCCCTCTTTAATACCCATCACCAGGCTAACCCATCCCCCCACC